TCTGGAAACTACAACTCACAGGATGGAACCATCATCTGGGAACTGCAAATCCGAAGATGAAATAAGCTTCAGAAAACTACAACTCCTAGAATGAGCCATCATCTGGAAACTACAAATCCCTGGATGGCACCATAATCTGGAAACCACAACTCTCAGAATGGAGCCATCATCTGGAAACTACAAATCCCATGATGGCGCCATCATCTGGAAACACAAATCCCAAAATGGAACCATATTCTGGAAACGACAAATCCCTAGATGGCACCACCATCTGGAAACTACAAATCCCAGGATGCAGAAATCATCTGACAACTACAAAACCCTTGATTGCACCATCACCTGGGAACTGCAAATCCCAGGATGGAGCCATCACCTGAGAATTGCAAAACCCTGGATGACACCATCATCTGAAAACTACAAATCCCATCTTCTGGAAACTATAAATCCCAGGATAGAGCCATGGGATTAAAGCAGTGCAGAAAAGCTACAACTTTGTAGTGCGGATGCCCTTCTTCTAGTCAAGGTTCACTCCCAAAATACGGCCTGAAGGTTTAGAGGCATCTTTCGAGGAGTGTGGCGGCCTCGGATCCGAGCGTCTCTATTATTCCTCTTCAGGACGGGGGCCCGAATCCAAGGGGACTCCATCGCATCTGGCGGATATTGATCACCGGGATACTATACATGACAGGCGATTTGCCGCCGCTGCCGCAGAAGGGATCCGTCAAAGGAAGTGATGCCGACACCACCTTGGGATGTCCGGCTTTGAGAAATCACTTAAGGAAGAGAACTGGCAGCTGAGCAAAATGTGGCCGGCATCGGCGGTGATGAAGGGAGGAGGAGGAGGAGGAGAAGTCACAAGCAGCACCATTCGAACTCGATGGAGAACACAAAAGACTTGCGCTTCAGCTCATTTCATTCATGAGAATTGTTCCCCCGGCACCCAAATTTACAAATTTCTTCCTATATTGGAAGAGCGAAGACTCGGGAGATGAGAAATTTAAGCTCTCTGGCTGAACCCTAAGTAGAACTGATCCATCAAATCCATTGCTGAATGGGGACACATTGCATGGATTGATTGGGTGCAACTCGAGTTAGGAACCAGAGAACTGTGCTCTGGCTAATTTCGTTAATAAGATTTGCCCCAAAGTGTTGCAAAATCCTTCCTATTTGGACCAGCAAAGACTTAAAGACTCAATTCTGGGCACCAAAACTGAAGGGAGATGTTAATAAACTGGAATGTGTCCAGAGGAGAGCAACTAAAATAATCAAGGGTCTGGAGAACAAGCCCTATGAGGAGCGGCTTAAGGAGCTGGGCATGTTAAGCCTTCAGAAGAGAAGGCTGAGAGGAGACATGAGGGCCATGTATAAATCATAGAATCATAGAATCAAAGAGTTGGAAGAGACCTCATGGGCCATCCTGTCCAACCCCCTGCCAAGAAGCAGGAATATTGCATTCAAATCACCCCTGACAGATGGCCATCCAGCCTCTGTTTTAAAGCTTCCAAAGAAGGAGCCTCCACCACACTCCGGGGCAGAGAGTTCCACTGCTGAACAGCTCTCACAGTCAGGAAGTTCTTCCTCATGTTCAGATGGAATCTCCTCTCTTGTAGTTTGAAGCCATTGTTCGCGTCCTAGTCTCCAAGGAAGCAGAAAACAAGCTTGCTCCCTCCTCCCTGTGGCTTCCTCTCACATATTTATACATGGCTATCATATCCTCCTCTCAGCCTTCTCTTCTTCAGGCTAAACATGCCCAGCTCCTTAAGCCGCTCCTCATAGGGCTTGTTCTCCAGACCCCTTGATCATTTTAATCGCCCTCCTCTGGACACATTCCAGCTTGTCAATATCTCTCTTGAATTGTGGTGCCCCAAATTGGACACAATATTCCACGTGTGGTCTAACCAAAGCGGACTAGAGGGGTAGCATTACTTCCCCACATCTGAATATGTGAGGGGAAGTCATAGGGAGGAGGGAGCAAGCTTGTTTTCTGTTGTCCTGGAGACTAGGACGCAATAGAACAATGGCTTCAAACTACAAGAAAGGAGATTCCATCTGAACATGAGGAAGAACTTCCTGACTGTGAGAATTGTTCAGCAGTGGAACTCTCTGCCCCGGAGTGTGGTGGAGGCTCCTTCTTTGGAAGCTTTTAAACAGAGGCTGGATGGCCATCTGTCAGGGGTGCTTTGTTTTCCTGCTTCTTGGCAGAGTGGGGTTGGACTGGATGGCCCACGAGGTCTCTTCTAATTCTATGATTCTAGGAGAGATGCAAGACTTGATGGTTGGAATCTATGATTCTATGATTCAATGAATCAACCTATCAAATGTATTGCTGAATAAATAAAGCTCTATACGGGTCAGGCCCAGCTTACTTGTCCGAATGCATCCACCCCTACGTCCCACCTCGTAATCTAAGATCATCTGGGGAGGCCCTGTTCTCGCTCCCGTCAACAGCACAGATGCGTCTGGTGGGGACGAGAGACAGGGCCTTCTCGGCTGTGGCCCCCCACGTATGGAAGACACTCCCAAATGAGGTAAGATCCGCTCCCTCCTTCCTGGCTTTTAGGAAAAAATTAAAATCATGGTTTTGGGACCAGGCGTTTGGTCAGTAGAAGTAAATGTATGCAGCATTTCAGAAAGACAATGACTGGAACAGCGATTCAACGGACGTGACTGTTTTATTGTTTTAATGATTATTTTATTGCTCATGGATGCATTTTTAAATTTAATTTATGTCTAATTCTAGTGTATAATTGTAATTGTTTGTACTGGCATTGAATTTTTGCCATTACTTATGTGTAAACTGCTTTGAGTCCCCTTCGGGGTGAGAAAAGTGGTATACAAATACTGTAAATAAATAAATAATGGATGAATGAATGTGGATTTAATATTTGGGTAAAGGTAAAGGTAGTCCCCTGACATTAAGTCCAGTCATGTCTGACTCTGGGTGTGGTGCTCATCTCCATTTCTAAGCCGAAGAGCCAGCGTTGTCCGTAGACACCTCCAAGGTCATGTGGCCGGCATGACTACATGGAGCGCTGTTACCTTCCCGCCGGAGCGGTACCTATTGATCTACTCACATTTGCATGTTTTCGAACTGCTAGGTTGGCAGAAGCTAGGGCTGACAGCGGAAGCTCACTCCGCTCCCCGGAATCGAACCTGCGACCTTTCGATCAACAAGCTCAGCAGCTCAGTGCTTTAACCCACTGCGCCACCGGGGTCTCTTAATGTGGTAATTTGTAAATTTGTACAAATTTGTAAATTTGTAAAATGTGGGTAAATTGCACATATTGGGTGGGGGCAACTCGAGTTAGGAATCAGACCCAAATATGTTTTTCAACAGCCTTGGGAATGGGTTCAAAAATGGCAGGAGGTGAAATGGACAGACTGGTCCACCTTCTAAGCAAAAAGGACTCGATGTTTAACTCAAAGGGTGAGTGCTTAAGCCAAATCTAAGGTCAATTCTCTCCTCCAAGAATCCCAAAAATGCAGAATCATGGCCCTGGAAAAGCCAGCCAAAACATGGGCATGCCAATAGGTCAGTGCTGATGCGGTCTTGATTTTACATTGTATTGGTTTTCATGTTTCGTTTTTATGTTGTGAATCCTTTTGTATCTTGGTCAAGAGATGATAACAACAACAACCATGCAAGGTAGCCTAGAACAGTGTTTCTCAACCTTCCTAATGCCATGACCCCTTAATACAGTTCCTCATGTTGTGGTGACTCACAACCATAAAATTATTTTTGTTGCTACTTCATAACTGTGATTTTGCTACTGGTATGAATCGTGATGTAAATATCTGATATGCAGGATGTATTTTCATTCACTGGATCAAATTTGGCACAAATATCCAATACACCCAAATCTGAATAGTGGTGGGGTTAAGGGAGGGATTGATTTTGTCATTTGGGAGTTGTAGTTGTTGGGATTTATAGTTCACCTACAATCCAAGAGCATTCTGAACTCCACCAATGATGGAATTGAACCAAACTTGGCACACAGAACTCCCATAACCAACAGAAAATACTGGAAGGGGGGCATTGACCTTGAGTTTGGAAGCTGTAGTTCACGAAAATACTGGAAGGGTTTGATTGGCATTGACCTTGAGTTTTGGAGTTGTAGTTCACCTACATCCAGAGAGCACTGTGGACTCAAACAATGATGGATCTGGACCAAATTTGGCATGAACACTCAATATGCCCAAATGTGAACACTGGTGGAGTTTTGGGGAAAATAGACCTTGACATTTGGGAATTGTAATTGCTGGTATTTGTAGTTCACCTACAATCAAAGAGCATTCTGAACCCCACCAATGACAGAATTGGGCCAAACTTCCCACACAGAACTCTCACGCCTTGAAGGGACTTACTGGCATGAGCCTCCCTCCAGGCTTGCACGCTCTCCCTCACCTGTGCAAGTGAACCACACTGCCATGCACTGAGCATGCATGCTCTCCCCTCCCCGCTTGAAGTCTCAGAAACAGCCCTCCCCTTGGCTGAGAGGCCGGTCAATCATAGCGGAGGAGGGTTTTTGGTAGATTTCACCATCTGTTTCCAAAAAGGAAAAGAGGGACAGGCAGAGAGATCTTCAGCCTTCTCTACCAAAGGGGTTCCTAAGACCATCTGAAATACATGTTTTCTGATGGTCTTTGGTGGCCCCTCTGAAACCCCCTTGTGACCCCCCCCCCAGGTCCCCACCCCCAGGTTGAGAAATACTGCTCTAGAATGTCTCCAAAAAGCAAATCACAATTTCTGGAAGCATGCAAAAGTATCAAAGATTCACCATATCTGGGCTTCCAAACCATTTAGAAAGGCAACCATTTCCCAAATATTTTCACTCATACATTCTATCACTAAGCAGCTTTCTCCAACTTGGTCTTCCCCAAAACTGCAGATTCATCCCTCATTTCAGTTCCGTGACCCAGAATCAATTTGGTCTTCCTTGGTGAGAAGATGGTGGGCATTTGGGGAAACGGGAACTCTGTGGTTCCCAAGCAGCACTTACCCAGTTTTCAGGCTGACCAGGGCATCCTCCACTCCCTTCTGGTTATATTTCACCATATAGGCGTGCATCTCCTTGTAATTGTTCCGGATGTTCCTCTCAGTGCTTCCATTAGGGACCGTCCCAAACCGAAATGGGGGTGAATAGGCATAGGGCTGTTGAAACTGAAGGCAAGGAAGGAAGGAAAGAATGAATGGATTAATCAAAGTATTCAACAAACACTTCTTCAAAGGCCTACGCTCTGAGAAGGACCAAGAGTTTCTCATCAATGGATCCTCCAGGTAACAATCCAAACTCTTTGTCGATTTAAATAAGCTTTGAGACCTCTTGTACTCTTGGCATGCAACTTGGCAAATTATTTCCCACTCACTTTCCTTGCTAGGGCTGATGGGAGCTGCCATCCATCAACTCCTAAAGGGTCTTGAGTTGAAGTCCAGCACTCCGGTATTAGCTGTTTATGGTCAATGTTCTCTAACATTCTCTATGTGTTGGAGCTTGGCTCCCATCAACTTCTGCTTAAATAAGTGATCATGGATGATGGATCCTGTTGATCCAAGCATTCAGAGGGTGCCAAGTTAAGAGACTGCTGGTCCATGGCAAAGGATGGATCAGAGCAGAGGTACCAAGAAATGACCACCAAGCATCCCATGTGCTGCAAAGATCATTGACTGTTGATTTCAATGGAATTATGAACCCACTCTGGGTTTTAAATGAATTTTACAGAAGTGTTATCCAAAAGCCCCAAGCTATGCTTGACAAAAGACTTTGCCATTCTGGATCGTTCTTTCTGGGACCTACCTGACAGGTTCACCATCTTGGATAGTTGTTCTTGAGATCTTACCTAAATTAGTTTCACCATCTTGAATAGTTCTTCCTGGGATCTATCCAACTTAGGCTCACCATCTTGGATAGATCTTCCTGGGATTTATCCAATCTGGGTTCACCGTCTTGGATAGATCTTCCTGGGATCTATCCAACTTGGGTTCACCAACTTAGACTGTTCTTCCTAGGATCTACAAAATTAGTTTCACCATCTTTAACAGTTCTTCCTGGGATTTATCCAATTGGGTTCACCATCTTGGATAGTTCTTCCTGGGATTTATCCAATCTGGGTTCACCGTCTTGGATAGATCTTCCTGGGATCTATCCAACTTGGGTTCACCATCTTAGACAGTTCTTCCTGGGATGTATCCAACATGGGTTCACCATCTTAGACGGTTTTTCCTAGGATCTACACAACTTAGTTTCACCATCTTGGATAGTTCTTCCTAGGAACTACCCAATCTGGGTTCACCGTCTTGGATAGATCTTCCTGGGATCTATCCAACTTGGGTTCACCATCTTAGACAGTTCTTCCTAGAATCTTACCCAACTTAGTTTCACCATCTTGGATAGTTTTTCCTGGTTTCTACTCAACCTAGGTTCACCATCTGAGATAGTTATTCCTATGATCCACTGAACTTAGGTTCTATTTCCTATCAACGGTCATAAACCGTTGTATAATATATGTAATTAACAGGGGGGAATGAAAGAAACAGAGGGCTTACCTTCTTGTCGCTCAGCCCCGTCACTTGGTCCACAAACTCCTCCTGGATCATGAAGGCGGCCAAGTTGGCTGTGTAGCTGGCCAAGAAGATGACAGCAAAGAAGGCCCAAACTGAGACCATTATCTTGCTGGTGGTCCCTTTGGGGTTCTGGACTGGAACYGAATTGTTGAAGACCAAACCCCAGAGCAGCCAGATGGCCTTCCCAATCGTGAACGATGGCCCATGGGGATCTATGGAGAGAATGGGCACCATTTTGGAACCACAATTATGACCTCAAAAATCTTAAAGGGCTCGGGTCTAGTTTATCAGAAGGTGGTGGATTCTCCATCTTTGGAAAAAGATTGGATGGTTATCCCTCAAGAGAACTATAATTGTACATTCCTTTTTGGATTGGCCTTTGGGGGGGTCCTTCCTATGATTCCTCCATTCTCAATGAGACCCTGAGCTCCATCCACCCATCCTCAAAGCAGAACGCATATTCATTTAGATTCTGAGCCCAAAGCTTCCTTTCCTCCCACCTTAATTCCTTTATGACTTTGGGAGGGGAAAGGACTCTTTGTATCTTTCTGAACATGCAATAAATAAATGCAATCGAATGGGGGGGAGGGGGAGTCCCAAGGCACTCCGAGGCCAACGGCAAAGCGGTGATAAATGGTTTATCAATGTTTTCAGAGCCCTTGAGATAAAGACAGTCTATGGGCAAACAAAAGGAGGAGAATATCACCTTGGCTTTCAACCTCAAGCTTTTGCATGATTGCAAACCCAGGTGAGTTCTTACATTTGCAGCAAGCAAAGCATTCAAAAGTTGGGTATTAAGGTCACACAATCTCAGACTTTGGGTGCAAAGGGCCTGTAATACTGTTCTATAGATCCATAAGAGTTTGAAGGCACCCCAAAGGCCATCTAGTCCTATCCCCTTCTGCCAGGCAGCAAGACACCATCCAATCCCTCCCAACAGATGGCCATCCAGCCTCTGCTTTAAAAGTCCCAGAGAAGGAGGCTCCACCAGACTCCGAGGCAATCTAATTCCTAGATAAATCAGTTAACTGGCATCCAAAGGGATTGTTAGATGCTGGATGAATTAGTTTCTGGTTGCTTTAGAGTTACTATTAAAACCAGGCCTAATTCATATTAAACCCCATCCACTTTATTGATTTGATATTAATATTGAAATACGGTAATCAAAGGAACTAAAGACAAACTAAATTCAATGTAACACAGTTTGACTGTTCATTAAAACAGCTTTGGGAATACTGTTTGAAATTTGAGTTAATACCTGCTTGTGAGTTCTAGATCACTGAGTGGCTACTGTGTTTTTTAATTGTTTCTCAACCATTGATGGTCCAAAAGTGCAGCCAGTTGAAGCTGGCTAGAGTGTGAAACCAAGGATGCGCTGATTAATTAATTAATTAATTAATCAAGGATGCGCTGTTGAATTAATGCACTGTGACACAACTTGAATGGCTATGGCTCAAGGCTATGGAGAACTGAAAGTTGTAGTTTGAAGGGGACCAGCCCTCCTTGGCAGGGAAGCCCTTGTGATCCCATAGCATCGAGCCATGGCAGTTAAAGGGGTGTCAAGCTACATTCATCCTACAGTGCAGATGCACCCATAGGAGGCCTAGGCCTTGGAGAACTACAAATCACAGGACCCATAGCACTGAGCTGTGGCAGTTTAAGTGGTGCCAAACTGCATGAAATCTACACTGGAGCTGCACAACTTAGCTGTATTCCATTTGGATTAGCGTAAAGCACTCTTTGTGAGGTTGTCCTTGAAGGGTGTTTAGAGTTCTCTCCTAAGGGACCTTGGTGAATCTACAACTCCCTGGACTCAACGGAACTGAGCTGTGATGGCTCAAGTGGTGCCAAACTGCATGAAATCTACAGTGGAGCTGCACAACTGAGTTGCATTCCATTTGGATTAGTGTAAGGAACTCTTTGTGAGGTTGCCCTTGAAGGATGTTTAACACTAGAGTTCTCTTCTAAGGGACCTTGGGAAATCTACAACTCCCAGGACCCGACACAACTGAGCTGTGGCAGTTCAAGTGGTGCCAAACAGCATGAAATCTACAGTGGAGCTACCTAACTTAGTTGCATTGAGTTTGGATTAGCGTAAGGCACTATTTGTGGGGTTGTCTTTGAAAGGTTTAGCACCAGAGCTCTCTTCTAAGGGGCCTTGGTGAGTCTACAACTTCCAGGATCCCACTGCATTGAGCCATGGCAGTTAAAGAAGTGTCAAATTGCCTTAAGTGGAAGAACCTCAGTCTGGGAGTTCAAGGTTGCTTGCTTCCTTCCATCTTTTTTTTTTTTTTGTTCCTTCTTTCCAGGGTGAGCAAAAAGAACGAGAGGCCAGGAATAGAACAATTTTCTTCGGTCGTTGTGTGTTTTCCGGGCTGTATGGCCATGCTCCAGAAGCATTCTCTCCTGACATTTCACCTGCATCTATGGCAGGCATCCTCTGAGGTTGTGAAACTAGCCAAGTGGGGTTTATATATCTGTGTAATAATGTCCAGGGTGGGAGAAAGATCTCTTGTCTGTTGGAGGCAAGTGTGAATGTTTCAATTGGCCACCTTGATTGACATTTAATGGCCTTTTAGATTCAAGGTCTGGCTGCTTCCTGCCTGGGGGAATCCTTTGTTGGGAGGTGTTAGCTGTTGTTTCTTGTCTGGAATTCCCTGTTTTGAGTGTTTTCTTTATTTACTGTCCTGATTTTAGAAGTTTTTTTAAATACTGGCAGCCAGATTTGTTCATTTTTCATGGTTTCTTCCTTTCTGTTGAAATTGTCCACATGCTTGTGGATTTCAGTGGCTTCTCTGTGTAGCCTGACATGGTGGAGAGTGGTCCAGCATTTCTGTGTTCTCAAATAATATGCTGTGTCCAGGTTGGTTCATCAGGTGCTCTGCTATGGTTGACTTCTCTGGTTGAAGTAGTCTGCAGTGCCTTTCATGTTCCTTGATGCGTGTCTGGGCAATGCTGCTGCGTTTGGGGGTTCCTATGGAGACTTCTTGTCCACAGCTGCATGGTACACGGTAGACTCCTGCAGAGGTCAGAGGATCCCTCTTGTCCTTTGCTGAACAGAGCATTTGTTGGATTTTCTTGGTGGGTCTGTAGATAGTTTGTATGTTGTTGTAACTAACACTTCCCAACAAAGTAGTCTGCAGTGCCTTTCATGTTCCTTGATTCAAGTTTGGGCAATGCTGCTATGTTTGGTGGTCCCTATGTAGACCTGTCCACAGCTCCCAACAAAGGATTCCCACGGGCAGGAAGCAGCCAGACCTTGAAAACTGCTAGGCCATTAAATGCTAATCAAGGTGGCCAATTGCTACATTCTACTTACTTACTTACTTATACCTAGGCGATCCCTCGTTGTCCAAGTGGGTTACTGGCAGTGGGTCCATAAGTGACTGTGGAGCCCTATTCTTGATCTGCATCTTCTCCCACAGTGAGGGCATTGGTTTCCAGGTGGAGACCTGGCTCAAGGGCCTTGACGCACCTTCCTCTTGGCACATTTCTCTTTCGCCCTCCATTTGTGCCTCTTCAAATTCTGCAGCACTGCTAGTCACAGCTGACCTCCAGCTGGAGCGCCCAAGGGCCAGGGCTTCCCAGTTCTCAGTGTCTATGCCAGAGTTTTAAGTTGACTTTGAGCCCATCTTCTCCTTTTCCTGTCCACCAACATTCCGTTTTCCATTTTTGAGTTCAGAGAAGAGCAACTGCTTTGGGAGACGGTGGTCAGGCATTCGGACAACGTGGCCAGTCCAGCGGAGTTGATGGTTGAGGACCATTGCTTCAGTGCTGGTGGTCTTTGCTTCTTCCAGCATGCTGACATTTGTCCGCTTGTCTTCCCAAGAGATTTGCAGGATTTTCCAGAGGCAACATTCACACCTGTCTCAAACAGACAGGAGTTCTTTCTCCCACCCTGGACATTATTCCACAGATATATAAACCTCATTTTCCTAGTTTCCAACACACCTCACAACCTCTGACCATGCAGGGGTTTTTTCTGTCGTGTCAGGAGCGACTTGAGAAACTGCAAGTCACTTTTGGTGTGAGAGAATTGGCCATCTGCAAGGACATTGCCCAGGGGACCCCTGGATGTTTGATGTTTTATCATCCTTGTGGGAGGCTTCTCTCATGTCCCCACATGGGGAGCTGGAGCTGATAGAGGGAGCTCATTCGCCTCTCCCCGGATTCGAACCTGCGACCTGTCGGTCTTCAGTCCTGCCGGCACAGGGGTTTAACCCACTGCACCACCGGGGGCTCCTATAGATGCAGGTGAAATGTCAGGAGAGAATGCTTCTGGAATATGGCCATACAGCCCAGAAAACACACAACAACCCAGTAATTCTGGGCATGAAAGTTTTCGACAACACATTAAACCTTCTTAGACTGTATGTTCATTTTGCTGGGGTGTTTCTGTTTGTTTGTTTGTTTGCTTTGGTGTACCTCTCCCTTGCGCCAGGTTGCGGTTGTAGCCCACAGGGCTGAAATACTCAAAGACGAAGACGGCGATGGCCGAGACGATGAGCAGCATCACAAACATCATGACCCAAACGGAAGCGCTAAAGGGCTCTGCGGGAGGAGAAAAAAGAAGGGAGTGAGACAGAGAGAAGACTGAACTGGTAAGCATGGCACACAGCATGGAAAACATCACAATGCGTGTCCCCCTCACTGCTTGGCACAGATGATCCCTCTCTTTCTCTTTTGTTATATGAGCAAGCAAAAGAGCAGCAGCAGGTAAATCTGACAATGAGAACACTGGTCTTCCCTCCCTCTCGTCAAATACACGTCCTCCTCTCTTCCTTACTCGTTCTCTCGCTCTCTCCGAGAGAGAGCTGCAATGCAGGTTGACACAATGGAGAGACCCCCAGAGCAACAACAACAGCAACCAAAAAAAAAACCCATGGCCAGGGAAGGAGGGAGTGCAGTGACCTGGATCTGATTGCGGTGGAAATAGAGAGTGTGTTTGTGCGTGCAAAAGAGGGATGGAGATGGAGGGAGAGAAAGGATGGAGCAAGAGAAAGAGAACAGACCTCTCCGTGCGCGTGGGGGGAAAAAAGGGAACGAACACAGATCCGTGGGCGGATGAGAGACAGAGAGAAAGACATGGAGAGATGTGTTCTCTGGGTGCCTCGTGTGTGTGTGTATGTTGTGTGAGCATGCAAACAAGAAAGGGAACAGATCTCTCCATGTGCAAATCTGTGTGTAAGAGAGATAAAGAAGGGGCACGGATCTCGGTGTGCGTATGAGATGGAGAACGGAATGTGTTGCGTGTGTGTGTTGTGCACATGCAAAACAGAAATGGAGAAAGAGAGAAAGGAGGAAAGAAAAAGAGAAATAGACCTCTCCATGTATGTGCGTGTAAGAGAGACAGAGAATGAACACGATTCCAGAGGAGACACAGAGAGAGATTTGGTGTATGTTATGTGAGTGCAAAACAGAGATGGAGAGAAAGAGCAGAGTAGATCTGTGTGTGTGTCAATGTAGAAGGCAGATAGGGGAAGAATGAAAACAGATCTGTGGGTGGACAGGAGAGAGAGATGGAGAGAGACAGAGAGAGAACTGTTCTCTCTGTGTGTATATATATATAAGAGAGAGAAGGAAGGAAGGCAGATTTATGGGTGGATGGGAGAGGAAGAGAGAAAGGTTTGTTCTGGGTGTAGGAATGTGTTTTGTGAGAGAGAATGGAATCATAGAATCATAGAGTTGGAAGAGACCTCATGGGCCATCCAGTCCAACCCCCTGCCAAGAAGCAGGAAAATTGCATTCAAAGCACTCCCGACAGATGGCCATCCTGCCTCTGTTTAAAAGCTTCCAAAGAAGGAGCCTCCACCACACTCTAGGGCAGAGAGTTCCACTGCTGAATGATTCTCACAGTCAGGAAGTTCTTCTTCATGTTCAGATGGAATCTCCTTTCTTGTAGTTCCACATCCTAGTCTCTAAGGCAGTAGAAAACAAGCTTTCTCCCTCCTCCCTGTGGCTTCTTCTCACATATTTATACATGGCTATCATGTCTCCTCTCAGCCTTCTCTTCTTCAGGCTAAACATGCCCAGCTCTTTAAGCCACTCCTCATAGGGCTTGTTCTCCAGACGCTTGATCATTTTGGCCACACATTCCAGCTTGTTAATATCTCCCTTCAATTGTGCCCAGAATTGTACACAGTATTCCAGGTGTGGTATAAACAAGGCAGAATAGAGGGGTAGCAAGACTTCCCTGGATCTAGACACTATGCTCCTATTGATGCAGGCCAAAATCCCATTGGCTTTTTTTGCCGCCGCATCACATTGTTGGCTCATGTTTAACTTGTCCCTGTTGAACTTCATTTTGTTAGTTTTGGCCCATCTCTCTAATCTGTTCAGATCATTTTGAATTCTGCTCCTGTCTTCTGGAAGCCGCTTTCCCTTCTGTGTCAGAGAGAGAACAACTGTGAATGGCTCTCTTTGCAGCTTTACCTTCAGCTCCCCAGTTGGGCCACACAACTCCGAGAGGGAGAGAATATGGAAGTGTATCTGAGAAAGGCAAAGCTGCAAAGAGAACACACTACAAAATCTTGCTCAGGAAAATCCAACCAGAGCGAGAATGGGTTGCTGTGAGTTTTCTGGGCTGTATGGCCATGTTCCAGAAGCATTCTCTCCTGACATTTTGCCCACATCTATGGCAAGCAACCTCTGAGGATGCCTGCCATAGATGTGGGTGAAACGTCACGAGAGAATGCTCCTGGAACACAGCCATACAGCCCAGAAAACTCACAGCAACCCAGTGATTCCGGCAATGAAAGCCTTCGACAACACATCATCATTATTACAGCTACTGGGATTATTATTCCAAATCCTAATCATCCTAATCATCATCATTTTATTCTAAATCCTACCATATATTTACATTATTGTTGTTGTTGTTGTTGTTGTTGTTCCAAATCTACCATGTATCTATGTCATCATCATCATCATCATCATCCCAAGTCTAGCATATACTTATATTATTATTGCTCCAAATTTTAAATACCTCATTATGATTGTGCTTATTATTATTGGGTTGTTATAATTCTTTCGTGCTATATGGCCATGTTCTAGAAGCATTCTCTCCTGACGTTTTGCCCGCATCTATGGCAGGCAACCTCTGAGGATGCTTGCCATAGATGCAGGCGAAATATCAGGAGAGAATGCTTCTAGAACATGGCCATATAGCACGAAAAAACTACTACAACCCAGTGATTCCGGCCATGAAAGTCTTCAACAATACATTACTATTATTATTCCAAATCCTAGTCATCCTCATCATTATCTTATTCCATGACATCTAGTCCAACCCTCTTCAGCTAGGCAGGAAGATGCAATGAAAGCCCTCCCAACAGATGACCATCCAGCCTCAATTCAAAAAATTCTATAGAGAAGGAGGTTTCACTAAACTCCCAATTCTAGTCTATACGTCATTAGAATGGGGTTTACATATCTGTGGAATAATGTCCAGGGTGGAAGAAAGAACTCTTGTCTGTTTGAGGCAGGTATTAATGTTGCAATTGACCAGCTTGATTAGCATTTAATTGCCTTGCAGTTTGAAGGTCTGGTTGCTTCCTGCCTGGGGGAATCCTTTGTTAGGAGGTGTGAGCTGGCCCTGATTGTTTCTTGTCTGGAATTCCCATATTTTCTGATTATTGTGCTTTATTTACTCCCCTGATTTTAGAGTTTTTTAATACTGGTAGCCAGATTTTTGTCTTTTTCATGGTTTCCACTTTTCTGTCCACCTACTTGTGGATTGTCCACATGTTTGTGGATTTCAGCGGCTACTCTGTGTAGTTTGGACATGGTAGTTGTTAGAGTGGTCCAGCATTATAAAACGAGTACAGTAAATAAAGAAGAACACTTAGAAAACAGGGGAATTCGAGACAAGAAACTATCAGGGTCAGCTAATCACCACCCAACAAAGATTACCCCAGCCAGTAAGCAGCAAGACCTTGAAGATGCAAGGCCATTAAATCATAGAATCATAAAATCAAAGAGTTGGAAGAGACCTCATGGACCATCCAGTCCAATCCCCTGCCAAGAAGCAGGAATATTGCATTTAAATCACCCCCAACAGATGGCCATCCAGCCTCTGTTTAAAAACTTCCAAAGAAGGAGCCTCCACCACACTCCGGGGCAGAGAGTTCCACTGCTGAATGGCTCTCACAGTCAGGAAGTTCTTCCTCATGTTCAGATGGAATCTCCTGCTAAATGCCAATCAAGGTGGCCAATTGCAACATTCACACCTGCCTCAAGCAGACAAGAGTTCTTTCTTCCACCCTGGACATTATTCCACAGATCTATAAACCCCACTTTCCTAGTTTCCACTGGCCTCGGGTGGCATTTTCCCCTGGGATGCCCAAAATCAGGACACACCCACAGTGGAGTTCGATTCTGGACACTGGTCAAAGGCCAGCCAGACCTGGCGACAAGCGCAAGGCTAAACTGAGACAAGGGAACATTCCAACCCCTGTGAGATTCCTCAGAGATATTTCCATTTGGTAAGGGCAGCCCATCTTGGCTCGATACAGAATTGCTTTGGTTTAGTTCAAGGTGCAGAGCTACGAAAAGCTCATTCATGTGAACACTTGGTTTTGGATTGAGAAGGAGGAGAACATGAAGGAAAAGGAGGAGGAGAAAAAGGAGGAAGAGGAGGAAGAAGAGAAGAATGAGAAGGATCAGAAGGAGGAGGAGTGGAGGAAGAGGAGAAAAGGGAAAAGCGTGGGGAGAAACAGAAGGCGGAGGAGAAGGAAAAGAAGATGCTGAAAGAGGAGGAAAGACAGAGGAGAAGAAGGAAAAAGTTCAGAGGAGGAGGAGAGGGGAAGAAGGAAAAGAGTTGGGAGAAACAGAGGGAGGAGGAGGAGAAGCTGAAGGAGAATGAGAAGGCAGAGGAGGAGAAGAAGGAAAAGAATGGGGAGAAATAGAAGGAGGAGAAGGCCAAGAAGATGCTGAAGGAGGAGGAGGAGGAAAGACAGAGGAGAAGAAGGAGAAAGATCAGAGAAGGAGGAGAGGAGGAGAAGGAGGAGATGGAAAAGAGTTGGGAGAAACAGAAGGCTGAGGAGAAGGAAAAGAAGATGCTGAAGGAGGAGGAGGAGGAAAGACAGAGGAGAAGGAGAAAGATCAAAGGAGGAGGAGAGGAGGGAAAGGAGGAAAGGAAAAGAATGGGGAGAAATAGAAGGAGTAGGAGAAGGAAAAGAAGATGCTGAAAGAGGAGAAGGAAAAGACAGAGGAGAAGAAGGAGAAAGATCAGAGGAGGAGGAGAGGGGGAGAAGGATAAGAGTTGGGAGAAACAGAAGGAGGAGCAGGAGGAGGAGCTGAAGGAGAATGAGAAGGCGAAGAAAAAGGAGGAGGAGGAGGAGGAGGAGGAGGAGGAGGAGGAGGAGGAGGAGGAAAAGAGTTGGGAGAAACAGAAGGAGGAGGAAATGAAAAAGACAGAGAGGAAGGAGAAAGATCAGAGGAGCAGAAGAGGAGGAGAAGGAAAAGGAAAAGAGTTGGGAGAAACTGAAGGAGGAGCAGGAGGAGGAACTGAAGGAGAAGGAGAAAGCAGAGAAAGAGAAGGAAAAGAATGCAGAGAAATAGAAGGGGAGAAGGAAAAGAAGATGCTGAAGGAGGAGGAGGAGGAAAAGACAGAGGAGAAGAAGGAGAAAGATCAGGGGAGGAGGAGAGGAGAAGGAAAAGATATGGGAGAAACAGAAGGAGGAGGAGGAGAAGCTGAAGGAGAATGAGAAGGCAGAGAAGAAGGAAAAGAATGGAGAGAAATGGAAGAAGAGGAGAAGGAAAAGTCAGAGAAGGAGGAGGAGAGGCAGAATGGGAGAAGAAGGCGAAGTAATATCCCTTTTCAAAGCAGGGGCTTGCACAACGCAACCAGCCATGGGCAAAGCTTTACGGCTATGCTGATATCAATGAAAAGGATATACTATAATATACAACTTACAGTAACAAAGGAATTTAGGGATTAATTTCTGACTTGTTTCTAAAAGTGCATCAAACAGTATGAACAGAGGGCGGCTTTATATAACAGGGATGGGGGGAATCCATTGTAAAAATGGACCTATACAGTGGTGGACCTAAAGGAGCTCTCCAAGGTCCTGAGCTATGGAGTTATCCAGGGTAAACGGTAAAGCTTTCCCCTTGACGTTAAGTCCAGTCGTGTCCAACTCTCCAAGGTCATGTGGCCAGCATTACTGTATGGAGTGCCGTTACCTTCCCACCAAAGCGGTACCTATCGATCTACTCATATCTGCATGTTTTTGAACTGCTTGGTTGACAGAAGCTGGGGCTAACAACAGGAGCTCACCCCATCCCGCAGGTTCAAACCACCAACCAGCAAGTTCTGCAGCTTAGCGGTTTAACCCACTGCACCACCCCGGCTCCAGGGTATTGTTTCTAATTTCGACTGTATCCAAAATTATGAGTCCAATGTCTGCCTATTTCATTCCCTAGGTTTCATAAATCTGGAATACAATCCAGAAGGGATTGAACACATACCTAACATGGGACAGAAAGTAGTGTGCGTTTTGGAAAGGGAATGAATGGCATTTAATGAAAGAACTAGGCCCCATAGAGGTCTTTGGGCGTGCAATGCTACATTTTTTTGAAAGAGTTCCAAGTGTTGTAATGGGATGCTGATGGGGATTACAGATAGTCCTTGCAGCTGTAACAGCACTCCATGCAGTCATGCCAGCTACATGACCTTGGAGGTGTCTATGGACAATGCTGGCTCTTCAGCTTAGAAATGGAGATGAGCACCAACCCCCAGTCGGATATGACTAGACTTAATGTCAAGGGGAAACCTTTACTTTTACCTTTTTGCAGCTGGAAACTTTGCAACCTCCACTTAATCGTTTGTGTTGAGAAGAGATTGTGTTTGTCACAAGTATAGCCTATACGTGTCCATAACATCTTTTGGACAGTGCTGCATTTCGACTGCATAAGCCATAAAGCATGCTGCAGAGACGTCAAGCTTCTCTGTCTCACAGGCATCTTTCCCTCCTCCTCCTCCTCCTCCTCCCTTTCCTCCCCAGACCAGCATCAGCAGCACAGGATGAAAGCCTTCCTCTGCTTCTGAAAGCTTCCAAGGGCCAGCGTTGTTCACAGCCCTTTTCCTTTCTTTCTGCGCTTGGCCTTTACTGGGAGACAGCAAACTCCACAGAGCAAAAAAACTCCTTCTGTTTCTCCAGCACTCTCTGTAGCTGCCAAAAGCCAGATGATGAAGGAACATCCAGCGCTCTTTGCTGGAGTGACCTAGTTTGCCAAATCAAACGGGGAAGAGGAAGCGGGAGGAGAAAGAAGTAGGAGAAGAGGAGGAAGAGGGAGGGAAGGAGTAAAGGAGAACAGGAGAAGAGAAGGAAGGAGGAAGGAGAGTAAGGAGAACATGAGGAGGGGGAAGGTGGAGGAAGAACAGGAGGCAAGGATGAAGAGGAAGAGAAAAAAAAACAAGAGGAAAAGAAGAAGAAGAAGGGGAAAAGAGGAGGAGAAGGAACAGTAAGAAGGAGGAGAATGAGGAAAGGAGAGCAGGAGGAGAGAAGGAAGGAAGAAGGTTAAAAGAACAAGAGGAGGAAGGTGGAGGAAGAAGTGAGCAGGAGGCAAGGATGAAGACAAAGAGGAAGAAGGAAGAAGGGAAAAAGGAAGAAGAGGAGAAGGAACAGGAAGAAGGAGGAAGAGGAGGAGAAGGAGGAAAGGAGAGCAGGAGGAGAGAAGGTAGGAGGAGGAAGAGTAAGGAGAACAGGAGGAGGAAGGTGGAGGAAGAAGGGAGCAGGAGGCAAGGAGGAAGAGGAAGAGAAAGAGAAAAAAGAACAGGAGGAAAAGAAGAAGGAAGAGGGGAAATAGGAAGAAGAGGAGGGGAAAGAACAGGAAGAGGAGGAGAAGGAGGAAAGGAGAGCAGGAGGAGAGAAGGTAGGAGGAGGAAGAGTAAGGAGAACAGGAGGAGGAAGGTGGAGGAAGAAGGGAGCAGGAGGCAAGGAGGAAGAGGAAGAGAAAGAGAAAAAAGAAAAGGAGGAATAGAAGAAGGAAGAGGGGAAATAGGAAGAAGAGGAGGAGGAACAGGAAGAAGGAGGAAGAGGAGAAGGAGTGGGGAAGAAGGAGAAGAGGAAAAATAACAGGAGAAACTCCCAAAGTAGGCAAAGGAAAGGAGGAGGAGGAGGAGGAGGAGGACACGAGAAGAGGAGAGGACAGGAGAGGAGAAGAGAGGAAAGTGATGAAGCAGGGGAAAAAGGAAGATGGAGAAGGAATTTCCAAGGTATGAAGGAAAAGACATCAGATCTTCATCGGCTGATGGAGAAAGGAGACCAATGGCATGTGGAGAACAGGGAGTTACCTAAAAAAGCTGATGGCGAGACCGTGCCGTTGCTCCGTGAAACCATGACACTGATCCCCGTTTCCACGAAGGGCACTGAGAAGTCCACCACCTCCGAGCGCTCGCCATTGATGGTGAGGGAGCCCACAGCCATCACCGCTTGCTTCTTGACCACCTGGCGGGCAAAGAAAGAAATCAAGCCAAGGCAGAAAGAGAAGGAAACATTAGACCAGAAAAGACCTTATGGAAATCCATCAAGTCCTGGAGGTTCTTGAATGGCTCATGAGCCAAGTTTGGATTAAGAGCTCTTGTCTCTAATGGCACTCACCTCCCCAATCATCCCGTTCCACTCATTGTTGATCTTCTTCCCGTGCTTCCCATTGGTCACCAAGTAGAGGTCGTAGGTGAACTTGATGGCCTTGGAGAGCTTCTTCAAGATGTCGATGCAGAAGCCTTTGCAGCACTTCTTCACGTTCTTCCCTTCCTTGGTGATGTTGCTGAGGACACAAGCAAAGGCCACTCATGAGATCATTGGCCTTCCAGAAAGGACCTTCCAAGGAAACCTACTCTATTGTTAACAGTAGAAACAGAGGCACAGATAGAGGGCAAAAGAGAGAAACATGCCAAGAGGAAGAAGGCATGTCAAGCAAACTCTTGTTGGGACCACCTTCAATCTGGAAATCAACGTTCTCACTGTAAAAGACCATGAAGAACCAGAATAGGTGTCTACAGTCACTTAATAGACCCTGGAAGATAATTATACTCAATCACGAGGAATCGTCTATGGTGATGATGACAATAGAAAGGTTCTTCCTAATGTTCAGGTGGCATCTCATGAATCTCATGGGTTCATGTCCGACTGTTTGGAACAGCAGAAGGGAAGCAGGCTCCCTCTTCTCCATGCCACCTGAAGATAGAGCCAACTTGTTTTTTGCTCCTATGAAAACTATGGCCTGAAGACATCGATTCACATTGCAATATCTTATCTTATCAATGAAACCAACATCATTGGGTGAGTCGCATGAGATTGAATGGAGGTGGGTTGGATGGAGACCCCAAGATGGACTTACTTAATGACGATGAATTTGCGGCACGGCACAGTGTTCTTGACGCAGGTCTCTGTCAAGGGGTCCATGTCCTCCACGATGACGAAGGGAGCTTCCTCCAGCGTGACAATGCTCAGGTGGTTGTTGTCCGGCTCGCTGTCATTGAATGAATTGTACCGGGGCCACACCGAAAACTTGTGGCTCAGAGTGTTGTTCTCCCACTTGCCCGCCTGCAAAAAACACCAAGATGGGACACAGTTGTGAGTTCAAGGCCAACACAGACTCCCTGAGCTTGGAAGAGTCCAATCCAAGGATTACATCACCCACAATCCCCCAGCTGACAGAGATGTTTGGATTCTGGAAGCTGCAGGTGGAAAACCTTCCCTGCCCAAGCAAGGTTTGCGCAAACTGCTACAAAACCAATGCTGTTGCTTACTTGACTATTTAAATAATAGCCCCATATTTGTTGGGAAAACTAACAATCTTGCATGCACATTTGAAATGGGTTTGATAATCTCCATAGAATCATAGAGTTGGAAGAAACCCCATAGGCCATCCAGTCCAACCCCATTCTACCAAGAAGCAGGAAAATTGCATCCAGAGCACCCCCAACAGATGGCCATCCAGCCTCTGCTTAAAAGCCTCCAAAGAAGGAGCCTCCATCACACTCCAGGGCAGAGAGTTCCACTGCTGAACAGCTCTCACAGTGAAAAAGTTCTTCCTAATGTTCAGATGGAATCTCCTTTCTTGTAGTTTGAAGTCATTGTTCTGCATCCTAGACTCCAGGGAAGCAGAAAACAAGCTTGCTCCATCCTCCCTATGACTTCCTCTCACATATTTAGACATGGCTATCATGTCTCCTCTCAGCCTTCTCTTCTGCAGGCTAAACATGCCCAGCTCTTTAAGCTGCTCCTCATAGGGCTTGTTCTCCAGACCCTTGATGATTTTGGCCAGCCTCCTCTGGACACATTCCAGCTTGTCGACATTTCCCTTCAATTGTGGTGTCCAGAATTGGACACAGTATTCCAGATGTGGTTTGACCAAGGCAGAATAGAGGAGTAGCATGACTTCCCTGGATATAGACACTATACTCCTATTGATGCAGGCCAAAATCCCGTTGGCTTTTTTTTTTTTTTTTTGCCACTTCATCACATTGTTGGCTCATGTTTGTCCATGAGGACTCCAAGTTCTTTTTCACACGCATTGCTCTCGAGCTACAGGTCCCCCATTCTGTATCTTTGCATTTATTTTTTTTCTGCCTAAGTAGAGTATCTTGCATTTGTCACTGTTGAATTTCATTTTGTTAGTTTGGGCCTCTCTTCCCCTGCTAAGTTTTATGGCACCCTCATTTAAATAATTTGCATGAGGTTCAGAGCGCTTCTTCATTGTGGACATGCTACAAGTCACGTAGACATAGCTCTTTGAACTCAGGAGACAATGAGAGAGGGGTGCTTCTTTGTCTTAGTGTCAGTGTGTTTGATTTGGTCTTTCGCTTTACTCTTTAAACAGAGTGACCATCACCCGCTTACCAGCTATGTAGTTTACTTGCTGCATGGTCATTTCTAGACCCATGCTATTTATTTATATTTATCGTGTCATCCGCAACCTGAACATTGTATTACATTTCTAACAGAACAAAACAAACAAACAGATAAAAAAACACAAAGTTTGCAAGCTTAGTAGTTGATTAAATGTCCTTTGACCAGTATCTGGCCACTTGGAGTGCCTCTGGTGTTGCCGCAAGAAGGTCCTCCATTGTGCATGTGGCAGGGCTCAGGTTGCATTGCAGCAGGTGGTCAGTGGTTTGCTCTTCTCCACACTCGCATGTCGTGGATTCCACTTTGTGGCCCCATTTCTTAAGATTGGCTCTGCATCTCGTGGTGCCAGAGCGCAGTCTGTTCAGTGCCTTCCAAGTCGCCCAGTCTTCTGTGTGCCCAGGGGGAGTCTCTCATCTGGTATCACCCACGGATTGAGGTGCTGGGTTTGAGCCTGCCACTTTTGGACTCTCGCTTGCTGAGGTGTTCCAGTGAGTGTCTCTGTAGATCTAAGAAAACTATTTCTTGATTTAAGTTGTTGACGTGCTGGCTGATACCCAAACAAGGGATGAGCTGGAGATGTCTCTGCCTTGGTCCTTTCACTATTGGCTGCTACTTCCCGGCGGATGTCAGGTGGTGCAATACCGGCTAAACAGTGTAATTTCTCCAGTGGTGTAGGGCGCAGACACCCTTGATAATGCGGCATGTCTCATTAAGAGCCACATCCACTGTTTTAGTGTGGTGAGATGTGTTCCACACTGGGCATGCATACTCAGCAGCAGAGTAGCACAGCGCAAGGGCAGATGTCTTCACTGTATCTGGTTGTGATCCCCAGGTTGTGCCAGTCAGCTTTCGTATGATATTGTTTCTAGCACCCACTTTTTGTTTGATGTTCAGGCAGTGCTTCTTGTAGGTCAGAGAAGGTCCAGAGTGACTCCCAGGTATTTGGGTGCGCTGCAATGTTCCAGTGGGATTCCTTCCCAGGTAATCCTCAGAGCTCGGGATGCTTGTCTGTTCTTGAGGTGAAAGGCACATGTCTGTGTTTTAGATGGATTAGGGATCAGTTGTTTTTCCCTGTAATAGGCAGTAAGAGCACCTAGAGCTTCGGAGAGCTTCTGTTCAACCATCTCAAAGCTCCCTGCTTGAGCAGTAATGGCACGATCATCAGCATAGATGAAACTCTCTGTCCCTTCTGGCAGTGGCTGGTCATTTGTGTAAATGTTGAACATGGATGGAGCAAGCACGCTCCCCTGAGGCAGGCCGTTCTTCTGTTTCCGCCATCTACTTCTCTGGCCCTGGAACTCAACAAAAAAACCTGTTTTGTAGGGGTTTCCTATGAGACGGGTGAGATGGTAGTCCTTTGTGATATTATACATTTTTCTCAGGAGGAGGCGGTGGTTCACAGACCCATGCTGAAGTTAGAGAATGTTACCTTTTACTCTCGATGTTTGGATTGTATCTTTTGATATACTGCAACCAAGTTATTTTGTACCTGTGTGATTCTTCACTGTTGATAAACTCTATTTTATTACATCCACCAGTTGATGTGGAGTTTTCTTTGTTTTACTGGCATTTCTGAATGTGTATTCTTTGCATATTAATGCAGGGTGCTGCGATCAATAGTTTTTAACTCTACCTATATCCTTTCCTTTTGAAAGGGCAAGCTGTCCTATCTCATACCTTTGCTCATGCCAGTGTGTTTAATTTATTATTTATTATGTTGTTGTTCATTCGTTCAGTCGTCTCCGACTCTTCGTGACCTCATGGACCAGCCCACGCCAGAGCTCCCTGTCGGCCGTCACCACCCCCAGCTCCTTCAAGGTCAGTCCAGTCACTTCAAGGATGCCATCCATCCATCTTGCCCTTGGTCGGCCCCTCTTCCTTTTGTCTTCCACTTTCCCCAGCATAATTGTCTTCTCTAGGCTTTGCTGTCTCCTCATGATGTGGCCAAAGTACTTCAACTTTGTCTCTAGTATCCTTCCCTCCAATGAGCAGTCGGGCTTTATTTCCTGGAGGATGGACTGGTTGGATCTTCTCGCAGTCCAAGGCACTCTCAGCACTTTCCTCCAACACCACAGCTCAAAAGCATCTATCTTCCTTCGCTCAGCCTTCCCTAAGGTCCAGCTCTCACATCCGTAGGTTACTACAGGGAATACCATGGCTTTGACTAGGCGGATCTTTGTTGCCAGTCTGATGTCTCTACTCTTTACTATTTTATCGAGACTGGACATTGCTCTCCTCCCAAGAAGTAAGCGTCTTCTGATTTCCTGGCCACAGTCTGCATCTGCCGTAATCATTGCACCTAGAAATGCAAAGTCTGTCATGGCCTCATTATTTCAAACATTTGTACCCTGTCCTTCTCAATCCCTGAATGGGGACTCAGGGCGGCTTACAACAGCAACAATTTGATGCCAACACATACAAAAACACAATACAACATGACATAACAGAGTAGATAAAAACAGGCTGCCTTTGACCTCAGCCCCTGGTGACTGGCTCCTTGCAGACTCGGGCCCTGACTGCCTGGTTGAGGCAAGGCCCAGCAGAAACACCTGCTGCCTCCTGAGGCTGGGCCATAAAAGGAGGATGCCAGCGGAGGACCAGTCATACAGCACCATCCTTGGCCTGTGGGTCCCCGGGTGTTTTGGCCTGCAGCTCCCAGAAATCCCAGCCAATTTATTGGGATTTTTGGGAGTTGGGGGCCGGTGTATCTGGGGTCCCATGAATTGGGAGGCACTGCCTTAGGATCATGAGAGGGGAAGGGGGAGGCCCTGGTAGGGTGCTTAAAGGATTGGTCCAATGTTTTATTTGTGTATGGGGTTATTATGTTTAATGGTGGGGGGGGGGGGCTTGGGGGGCTTCAGCCCCCCCCCCAAATTCTGATGGTGGTCCGCGAGAAGGCCTTACTGGTACATTATTTAAACTGTTATGTTTATTCATATCATGATCTGATCACCATGCTCAATATATCCCATATGCATGGGGGTATTGGGGTAACGATACAAAAGGTTTGCTAGGGTAGACCCTCTTTCACTCAGACTCAGCCCCCCCCCCCGAACCAAACTCAGCCCCCCCCCCTGAAACAAAATCCTGGCTACAGGCCTGGTGTATGGGGTTATTATGTTTAATGGTTTTAAATGTTATTTATATGCTTGTTGTTTCTAGTGATTTTATGTTATGTTTTATATGATTTATATAATGAGGCATTGAATTTTTGCTTAGACATATGTTGTACGCCACTCTGAGTCCCCTGAGGGGTGAGAAGAGTGGGATAGAAATGAAGTAAATAAATAAATAAATAAGGTTAAAATCCATTTAAAACATTATCAACCATATTGCCATATCCAAGTCTGATTCAACGACCAAAAACCCAAAGCCTATCCGTAGTCCATACTAAAACATTGCAATTGCTGTCAAGCCTGTTACCCAAATGCCTGGTCCCAAAACCATGTTTTGAGCTTCTTCCTAAAGGAAAGGAGGGATGGCACTGACCTAATTTGGCTAGGGAGTGTGTTCCACAGGCAGGGGGCCACCACCGAGAAGGCCCTGTCTCTCATCACCATCAACCGTGTTTGTGAAGAAGGCAGGATCAAGAGCAGGGCCTCCCCAGACAATCTTAAACTCCAAGGAGGTACATAGAAGGGGATACGTTCAGACAAGTAAGCTGGGCCAGAATCGTATTGAGCTTTATAGGC